CTTCTGCTTGTCAATATGACAAGTCTTTCAGAACGAGAACGCATTGGCTAGATCATCCTCCGATCTTGCCTTAGTTGGCTGGATCATCCTCCGATCTTGCCTTAGTTGGCTGGATCATCCTCCGATCTTGCCCTAGTTGGCTAGATCATCCTCCGATCTTGCCTTAGTTGGCCGGATCATCCTACGATCTTGCCTTAGTTGGCCGGATCATCCTACGATCTTGCCTTAATTGGCTGGATCATTCTCCGATCTTGTCTTAGTTGGCTGGATCATCCTCCAATCTTACCTTAGTTGGCTAGATATCTTACTTCAAAAAACTCGATAACTTCGGAACAGCTTATTCAAATTGGATAAAACCATAGTGCTTTGAGAAGGTCTGAAGAAGGGCTATAAGAATATGCAATAAAAAAGTAGGGATTCCATTTAAAAAATCCGAGTTGACTTTGTCCTGACCTTGATGACGCCACCCAAGGTCAAATTGTTAAGATCGGTAAATAGATCATTTTCAATGCTACAACTTTTGTCTGAAACATTTTTTTATAAAATGTATAGTTTTCGAAATTTTCAGGGGTCGCGTGGTTTTTTCTTCACCCTGTATAATATTGTATAACACACATGTTATTATTGCATTTATATTGTTTAGCTGGAAGTTATATCTAACTGCTATATTTAATAGTTATATAACTGCTACATACTATTTACTGGGTTGTCACGGTTATTATTATTTTTAACAATAACAACAATGCAAGTAACGTGCGTTAACTTACTAACTTTATATTAAATTAAAAAAAACAAAAGATTTAATCCAAACATACAAGAAATTGAAAAAAAAATTATGAAGATTCACCAAAAATGAAAAAAACCTTTGGCGCACCTTTAACCTTTTACCTTTAACCGGGCACGCCATGGGTTTTTTTCATTTTTGGTGAATCTTCATAATTTTTTTTCAATTTCTTGTATGTTTGGATTAAATCTTTTGTTTTTTTTAATTTAATATAAAGTTAGTAAGTTAACGCGCGTTACTTGCATTGCTGTTATTGTTAAAAATTATAATAACCGTGACAACCCAGTAAATAGTATGTAGCAGTTATATAACTATTAAATATAGCAGTTAGTTATAATTTTCAACTAAACAATATAAATGCAATATAATATGTGTGTTATATTATATAATAATTATATTGCTGAGTGGGAAATTATAATAAACAATTATATAACTGTTACTTGGTGTTTGCTGGGAAGTTATTTTACCAATGAATCAATAGTACCTGTAACAAACTACTTCATTAATATATACTTCATTAATATATTCAATAAACAGCGATAAAAAAAATAAGAACATAAGAAATACATGACAAATAAGAAATGTAATAACATAATACTAGTTTGTTGTTATTTTCATTTGGCGCAAATCACCTAATATCACTATTTTTGTAGTAAAAGATATCAAATGTTACAAATTACTGTTTTTTATAGAACAAATTTTTTAAAAAAATTTTATTTTTATCATTTTTGTTGAAAATGAAATTATAAAACCAAATTACATATCAAAATTATTTCAATTTTAATAAGATTTTTTCTACGTAACTTTTTTATTACAAATTGATGTACAGCGTTTCCAAGTACAGTTTTTGTAAGGATGTTTTTATTATAGTTATTAATACGGTTTTTTCTACAACAGATTTTGTACAAAGATTTTTACAAAAGTTCCCAGTAAACACAGTTACGTAATAGTTACATTGTCGTAATGTAACGAAATGTAACACGTAATATAACGTGTGTTACAAACAATATATATGTTAGTTGTAATTTCCCACTCATAGAAGGTTGCAGTTATATAACAGAAATATCACATGTTACTAAAATGTTATATAGCTGTTATATAACTATAATATTATTATTATGTAAAAAATTTACTCCTAATTTTCTCGCGTCTTGCGTCTGCCGATAGCTTCGATTCCAAGCGGTCACCCTCTCCAAGTGTTGACTACGCTAGGCTTTGCTCCTAACCTGACAGTCGAGTGGCACGCAGTTTTCCCAATGATTCCAACGATGTTCTTGTGACTTGTACTTATATAATCCCAGCAAACATAATATTACATGTAATGTGCATGTAATTTGCATTGTAATTTCCTACTCAACAATATAACTGTTATATAACACATGTGTTATACTCAACAATATGACTGTTATATAACACATGTATTATATAACAGCTATATTGTTGAGTAGGAAATTACAACTAACATGCACGTTATATGTAATATTGTGTTTGCTGGGTACATAAAAACATAAAACTACAAAATAAAGCATCTACAAAGCGGAACGGAATTTCTGATTGATTATTCCACCATTTCTTTTATTTGTTACTGTTCTGCTTTGCTATTTCTTTCTCTATCGGAATGCACCCTTATTCGCAATAGAAAGCATTTGCAGCTTTTAATGGATTGCATGAATAGTTATGTTATATAGCATCAATGTAATATGAACGTAATTACTGTTATATAACATGTTGCATTACTGTTATATTATTATTATAATGTTATCTCTAGCTTATAACAAAACAGTGTAACAAATATATAACACAATTATATTACAACTATGAAACCAAATTATATAACCGCAATATAACTAGAGTATAACATACGAGGGCGGTCCGATAAGTACTCAGCCTCACCGCCCGATGGCGCCACTATCGCAAAAGAAATTTACTATCGTGTAGTACATTCTCGTAGACGGCTACTGTCGAAATTTCAGCCGAATCGGACTCGTAGTTTTGTTTTGACCGCGTGTGGAAGCGGGCGTGCCCGCGGATTTTAGAAAAATGGAAAAAGAGCAATATCGGTCGGTGATTCGATTTTTGTTTTTGGAAGGGAAATCGCGCAGCGAAATCAAAGAGCGCTTGGATGCTGTGTACGGTGACTCTTCTCCTTCGATAGCGACCGTCAAAAATTGGTTTAACGAGTTTCAACGTGGTCGCACATCGGTTTTTGATAAGCCACGCCCAGGTGCCCCGAAAACGGCTACCACAGAGGATAACATGACAAAAATCCACGATCTCGTATTGGCAGACCGCCGATTGAAGGTGCGCGAGATAGCTGAGACAGTGGGCATCTCAAAAGACCGCGTGGGTCATATCCTGCATGAAATTTTGGGCATGAGAAAGCTGTCGGCGCGATGGGTGCCGCGTTTGCTCACTCCGGACAACAAGCGCAACCGTGAGACCACTTCAGAGCAGTGTTTGACGTTGTTTAAGCGCAATCCGAAGGAGTTTCCGCGTCGTTTCGTGACCGTCGACGAAACATGGATCCACTGGTACACACCAGAGACCAAGGAACAGTCGAAACAGTGAACTTCACCCGGCGAACGTGCTCCGAAGAAGGCGAAGACTGTCCTATCGGCCGGAAAGGTGATGGCCACCATTTTCTGGGATTCACAAGGTGTGATCTACATCGACTACCTGGAGAAGGGCAAAACGGTCACAGGGCTGTACTATGCCGAATTATTGGGCCGATTCGACGCCGAATTGTAGAAAAAACGGCCCCATTTGGCGAAGAAAAAAGTGCTCTTCCACCATGACAACGCACCGGCTCACACCTCCGCCCTCGCCACGGTCAAATTCATCGAATTGGGCTACGAACTGCTGCCCCATCCACCGTATTCTCCAGATTTGGCTCCGTGCGACTTCTTTTTGTTTCCAAACTTGAAAAAGTCACTCGCCGGGCAGAAATTTGAGTCGAATGAGGAGGTCATCGCCGCTACGGAGGCCTACTTTGCAGACCTCGAGAAAACGTATTTTTCAGACGGGTTAAAGAAGTTGGAGCATCGCTAGGTCAAGTGTATCGAGCTAAAAGGAGACTATGTTGAGAAATAAATCGCCACTTTTCCAAAATTTTCGTTTTTCTTTTGTAGGCTAAGTACTTATCGGACCACTCTCGTATGTTATATTACATGTTACTCCTATGTTATATAACAGTTATATTCTGTGTTTGCTGGGTTATTTTTTTATTATAGTTATTAATACGTTTTTTTTTACAATAGATTTTTGTACAAGTTTTTTTTTGTACAAAGATTTTGTACAAGTTGTGTTTTTACAAGTTTTTTGCACGGACACAGACACGCGCGTACCTTGACGCGTTTTTTTTACCTTTTGTAAGGTAAGTTTTTTTTACCTTTTGTAAGGTAAGTTTTTACGGATATCACTGATTTTGTTACGAGAGCTACAATGGATATCATAAGTGTAACTATAGTTTTCTGAACAGTATTTAGTTATTATAAAAAGTATAGAAGAGACTTCAACTCCACCCACGTCATATATTTTATTAAGGGGTTAAATGGGTTTTGAAACTTTGAAAAATCTGTTTTTTTCATAATTTTTTATATAATAGTACAACATGTCAAGAATATTTTCCCAAAGTTTTAAGTCAATCAGAGTAAAACTCTAGAAGAAAGAAACTTTTGAAACTCCTCCCATTCGGCTCGACCGGCCGGGAGCGTCGCAGGTTTATCGAGGCAGCTGAGCTGTTGTTTCTCTCTTTTTCTCTAATCGCTATGAATCACCTTTTGTATATATCTTGGAAAATAAGCTTTTGGATAAATTTTACCGTTACAAACAAAGAGAAGTAATAGCTGGCTTAGTTTATCGTTGCTTGTTGAGCCGCGTGGTTATACGTTTGCGATGTGATTTTTTACTAATTTTTTTGTAAAATGAATCTGCATAAAGTTACGAGAGAAGATCGAACAGAGAGTTTACGAAAAGATAGGCTAAGAAAAAGGAAACAAACATTTAATCCTCAAACAGCAGAGATCGACGATGTATCTTTCGCCAGCACATCGGCAAAAAAGCTTAAAAATCTAGATGATATATATGTGCCGGAGGACGCTACTTTTCAATATGCAATTATAGATTTTTTTTTTAGTTTCTTCAATACTTTCCAGTTTTGTGAAGTGCTCTAATGTTATAAATGAAAATGGAGAGGAAAAAATGTGTGATGGGAAAGTTGAATTTAGACAATGTGCAAAATTAGGTCTTGGTTTTAAAATTATGGTGGAGTGTGAAAAATGTAAGCTTAGCTATATTTTATCAAGTCAAAAAATACGTAAAGTGTATGAAATAAATCGTAGATTTATTTTTGTTATGCGAATATTAGGCTTAGGTCTTGCCGGATGTAAAAAATTTTGTGGCTTAATGGATATAAGTTATTCTTTCTTAAATTAATCAACGTACGATTTTTATATTAGTAAGATACATGAATGCGTAAAGACGGTTGCCGAGAAACTTTTTTCCTTAGCTGCTAAAGAAGGAAAAAATTTAACGTGCGAGGAAAACGGTGTTGAAGATGCGACAGATGCTACTGTATCAGGCGATGGCACTTGGAAAAAGCGCGGGTTTTCATCATTATATGGCGTAGCCACGTTGATTGGCTATTATTCTGGAAAAGTTTTGGATGTATTTGTAAAAAGCTCATATTGTAAATTATGTGAGACTTGGCAGAAAAACTAGATACGGCAGAGTTTGAAAAGTGGTATGCGGATCATTTGAAAAAAAAAAGAATGCAGTGCCAATCACCAAGGACTAGCTGATAATATGGAAGTTTCATCAATTGTTGCAATGTTTCAACGCTCGTTAGAAAAATATGGCCTAAGGTACGTTTATTATATTGGAGACAGGGACTCCGAAACATATTCCGGAGTTGTAGGTTCCAAACCTTATGGTGAAAATTTTCAAATAAACAAAAAAGAATGCATAGGACATGTGCAAAAGAGGATGGGCACCCGTTTACGCGATTTAGTGAAAAAACTGTAGAAGAAAAAGAAATCAAAGGAAAAACGATTAGAAAAAGAACTCTTTCTGGCAAAGGCAAGCTTACAACTAAACTTATCGATAAATTAACAGTTTATTACGGATTGGCTATAAGAAGGAATTGTGATTCAGCGCAAAAAATGAAGGACACTATATGGGCAACTTATTTCCATTATAGTTCAACGGACCAAAACCCACAGCACGAAAAGTGCCCGAGCGGCGCTGACTCATGGTGCGCTTAGCAGCGTGCTTCGGCTATAAATGCTCTGTACTCATTCAAGCACGATTATACTCCATTGCCGAGTGATATCTTATCAGCTATCAAGCCTACTTATGAAGAGCTTAGTAAGGATATGCTTTTAGAGCGGTGTGTTGGTGGCTTCACGCAAAATAATAATGAGAGTCTGAACCAGCTCATTTGGAAAATCACTCCAAAAACACTTCCTGCTGGTTCAAAAATAGTTGAAATTGCTGCATTCATCGCTATCTGCACTTTCAACGAAGGAATCTCAACTCTATTAACTTTTTTGCACGGTATAGACGTCAAACTTGGCCGAAATAGTCACGAGTATGCGCGGAAAGAAGATACACATCGCATACTCACAGCCGAGAAAAGAGCTGAGGCTGGGACTCGAGAGGCAAGAATTCGTCTCAGGCAAGCGCAAAAGGATACCCTGGACATTACAGCAAGACCTTTACTTTATGGGGCTGAAATCAACGATTCCATGTAAGTTAAAAAAAAATTTCTTTCTCTGTTTTATTCCTACTTAAAAACTTTAAACGCATTTTTCTTGAAACTGTATTTTTAAAGTCAGTGGGCACGATTTATCAAAAACTAATGCACCAATCTTGTTGAAATTTTGCATACTTCTTTTAGATAAGATTGACTCGTGATTGAACGAAGGATTTATTTTTTCTTTAATTACAACTTATTTTACAAGCCAATACATGGCGTAGTTTTTACCGAAAATCGTACTGTTTTGTATACAACTCTGCCAAAAATTCAAATTTCAATTTTTTTTAAATCCTTCGCTCAATCACGAGCTATACTCACCTACTAACAGAAAATATTTGGTTTCTTTATTTTAGATAAAGTTATCACGAGTTATCCTAGTCACCACGAGGATATTTTTTTCTAAGGGGTCTCCAGAAACCAGCTCTCAACGGCTGAATTTTCAATATTTTTTTATGAAAATTTCATGAAATTTTATTGAAATGTTGTTCTTTCATATGCTAAAAGTTCGAATAAAATAATTCATTTAGTATGTTAAAGAAAAATTAGAGAAAATATACTTTTTTTTGCCCTTCAAAACCCATGTAACCCCTTAATGACATATGACGGTCCTCTTTTCTTATTTTATCGCACAACAATGCATAATTTAATATATCCCGGTTATATTTGTAATTTTATTTGTGAATCTTATAAAAGAATTATGCATTATCTCATATGCATTATTTATTATCAATTTGCATTATTTGCACTATTTATTATCAATTTTAACTATCCTTATTTACACAATCCTAGATAATATACAATAAATATTCCACGTAACAACTAATTTTCTTTTGTAAGAAATTTTGTACAACTGGATACTCTTGAGGCTTCTGCGATGTAAAAAATTGCTATTGTAACATGATGTCGAGTAGCACGAAAGCTTCACGTCGATGATTTCAACTCAACTGTCCGCAGACTTCGTAAAGTTCTGCAGAGTGGCAAACGCCGATGTGTCATTTCGCCTATATTTGTCCTCACAGCAGCAACCTGAACATATAAAATATGCAATATGAAATAACATATTCTTGTTTTAGGCAAGAATATATATAAAAGGTATCTTTTAAAGTGTATAAAGTTTTACAGTGCATAATCTGGATGTGGCGTACCGATTCTGTTTCTGCTTAATAACAAATATGTTCCATCGTTGCAATCTGAAAAGGTGAAATATACAGTATGAAATAATATATTCTCGTTATGGACAAATAAATATATATGAATACATATAATAATAAAAGATATCTTTTATAGAATATTATGTGTTGCTTGATAGTGAATTGGTTGTCCTTCTGTTCAATATTAATGTCTCAACACAGCTATCTGTAAATGTCAAATCAAATGCAGCTACCTGTAAATATCAAATATGCAATATGAAGTAATGTATTATTGTTTTGTTATTATACATATTCTTATATATATAACAAAACAATAATACATTACCTCATACTGCATATTTCACATTTACAGATAGCTATGTTTGATTAGACATTTACAAATAGCTATGTTGGAACATTACTCTTGAGCAGAAGCACAATCAACTCACTATTAGGCAACACACAATTCTATACAAAATATCTTTTATTATTATATGTATTTATATACAGGGTGGCCCACATAACTCTTAACAGCTGAATATTTCGGAAACTATTTATCAAATCAAAAAGTTGTTCATGAGAAAGTTTTATATTCGAGAGGCCTTTCTAACTGCATAAATATTAAGTTACTTCATGCCTCCCTTAAAGGGGGGGGAATTTCAAACGGGACCCCCTATAAAATGTTAAATGGTTGGGTTCTACAGTAAAAAAACGAGTACATTTTGTTCAAAAATTTTTTTTGTCAGATGTTTCTGTTAAAAGATATGACGGTGTAAAGTTTCGAAGCTACAGGAAATGTAAAAGCGTTGCATATCCTTGTCTTTCGTCGGTGATTCAAACGTAAATAAACATTCATACATTCATTGAGGTCAATTTAACTATTCATGAAAATCTTGTCAGTTGTATGTTACTATTCAAAAAGTAGCACCGTGAAAATCATAGCTATCACTATGTTTGATACAGAAGTGAATGTTATTAATATTAGGTGAATACCAAAAGAATGATCGGTGTGCAGCCGTAACGCAGCAGTAAGATTTTTTGAATATTATGGGATTAAAAAATCGCACGTGTCATTTTTTAATGTCATTTCTTTATTGTGAGTTGTACGCAATTTACCATGTTCATGAAGCTGCTTTGATTAAAAAAAGATACGTGCGATTTTTTAATCCCATAACGTTCAAAAAACATTACTGCTGCACGCCGATAATTCTTTTGGCATTTACCTAGTAATAATAATACATTCACTTCTGTATCAAACATAGTGATAGCTATAACTTTCACGGTGCTAACTTTTTAAATAGTAACATATCGATCAATAAGTCCCGGGACTAACCAACAGATGGCGCCTCTAATAACAAATCCATACCATTCTCAGTTTGTACCAACCTTTAGAAGTTACGTGTCAAATTTTCATGACATTCCGACATTGTGTCATTGAGTTACAATGGTTTTAGTGACGCTACTTTTGCTATTTTCAAAACAATGGAAAAAACCGAATTTTGTGTGTTAATAAAACATTGCTTTTTAATGGGAAAAAAATACTGTTGAAACTCAGCGATGGCTTGAAAAGTGTTATCTGGGCTTTGCTCCGTTGAAAACAACCATTTGTCGGTGGTATGCTGATTTCAAACGCGGCCGTACAGACACAAATGATGCTGAACACTCTGGTCGTCCAAATGAGGCTGTTACACCAGAAAACATAAAAAAACCCTCAAAATCGTGATGGAAAATCGCAAAGTAAAGTTGCGTGAGATAGCTGACATCCTGAAGATATCATTTGGTAGTGTTTACACTATTTTGCATGAACATTTGGTCATGAAAAAGCTTTTTTCGAAATGGGTGCCGCGTTTGTTCAGAATGGAACAGAAAAAACAACGCATCGATGATTCAGAGCGCTGTTTGGCACTGTTTACGCGAAATAAACAGGAGTTTTTGCGTCGGTATATGACAATGGATGAAACTTGGATCCACCACTATACTCCGGAATCAAATCGGCAGTCAGCTGAATGGAGAGCAGCCGGTGAAAGTCGTCCAAAGCGACCAAAAACTCAACAGTCGGCCGGGAAAGTTATGGCCTCCGTATTTTGGAACGCTATAAGTATGGTATAATATTCATCGATTACCTTGAAAAGGGAAAAACCATCAATAGCGAATATCACATAGCGTTATTGGAATGTTTGAAGGCAGAAATTGTAAAAAACGGCCTCATATGAAGAAGAAAAAAGTTCTCTTTCATCATAACAATGCACCGTGTCAAGTCGATGGTAACGATGGTCAAATTGCATGAGTTGAACTTCGAATTGCTTCCGCACCCACCGTATTCTCCAGATGTGGCCCCCAACAATTATTGGCTGTTCGCAGACCTCAAAAAGATGCTCCAGGGAAAGAGATTTGGCTCCAATGAAGAAGTGACAGCCGAAACTAACGCCTATTTTGAAACTAAAGATAAATCGTTCTACACGGCTGGCATAGAAAAGTTAGGAAAGCGTTGGAATGAATGTATCGCCTTGAAAGAAGCTATGTTGATTAATAAAGAAGAATTTTGGCAAACAAATGTTGTTATAGTAGTTAGTCCCGGGACTTATTGATCGATATGTTAACATACAACTGACAAGATTTTCATGAATAGTTAAATTGACCTCAATGAATATATGAATGTTTGTTTACGCTTGAATCACTGACGAAAGACAATGATACGCGACGCTTTTACGTTTCCTGTACCTTCGAAACTTTACACCGTCATATCTTTTAACAAAAACATCTGACGAAAAAATGTTTTGAACAAAATATACTTGTTTTTTACCGTAGAACCCAACCATCTAATATTTTATAAGGGGTCGCGTTTGTAATTGCGAAGTTACCCCCTGTCCCCCTTTAAGGAGGGCAGAAAGTAACTTAATATTTATGTAGTTAGAAAGGCCCCTCGAATACATAAAATTTTCTCATGAACAACTTTTTGATTTGACAAATAGTTTCCGAAATATTTAGCTGTTAAGAGTTATATGGTCCACCCTGTATATCTATTTGTCTATAAGGAGAATATATTATTTCATATTATATATTTCACATTTTCAGATTGCAGTGTTCGATATGTCATTCTGCCTGTTTGTCTTTACCACAGCAACCTGAAAATATAAAATATATAATGTGAAATAACATATTCTTGTTTTGGACAAGAATACATATAAAAGATATCTTTTAGATGGTGTATTACCTGGATTTGACTTATTGATTTTGTTTCTGCTTAATAACAAATATGATCCAACACTGCAACACAACAATCTGAAAATGTGAATTATGAAGTACGAAATAATATATTCTCGTTAGGGGCAATTAAATACATAGAAATACACACAATAATAAAAGATACTTTTTATAGTATTGTATATTACCTGTAAATCTGTTGTGCTTCTGTTCAATAGTAATGTCCCAACGCAGCTATATATAAATGTCAAATCAAATTGCAGCTACCTGTAAATGTCAAATATACAATATGACGTAATATATTATTGTTTTGTTTACAAGAATACGTATAATAATGAAACATAAAAATAAAAGAATAAATTTCATTCATAGATCAACAATCAATAACCTACTTACCTGTTCTAATATACAGTAAAATTCCGTCACGTATATCATGCATATCTTGATTTCCTCTCTTTCTTCCTCATTTTCTCGTTCGGCTTCTCTCATGAGCTAATCACCGATCACCACTTTTTCTGGTAGCATTGAAATATCACTACATATGTCAAACACACTCATACACCACTTTCAAATTATGGCGCCTCTGACAATGAGTGAACCCGTTCGTGGCGTCTCTGACAGAAGAAATGTGAGATGGACATTTTTGGCGTGACATTTTTACCAATGTTAGCGAACGTGAAATCTTCGTAAATTGAACTTTGGACTAGAGTATCTCGGCTCATAAGATACGTAGAGCAAACATAAAGACAGTTTTATGGACTAATTTGGACCCAAGGAATCGATTGAGACCATTCAGAACTGCACCGGTTTAGCGGTAATAGCGAAACTCTAAATTGTGCTCCCCTCCAATTAATTGGTTCGCGTGAATATACCACGGCAGTCAAAATGTTGTTCAGGAGCGTAACAGCAAAAAGAATAACCATAAATTGCACATAAATTGCTTGGCGCAAACCACTGCCATGGTTTTTGATAAGAATGAATCAGTTGTCTACCCAGCCCCCGGAGTCGGCCTTAGCTAGCCCCGGGACCATAGCGCTGGAGGAGGCGATGGACACCAACGCATAATGATCCGTCGCCTCCTCCAGACCAATTTGAATCACTTCAGCGCGGGGTCCAAGACCTCTTTGGGCACACTCTGCTAAGGTAAAAAATCAGTTTGGCGGTGACGGCTGAGCCGTACTGTGTCCTCGATAGATTTAACTGGTTAGGAGACGCGTACGGTTTGATCGCCATAGTCAAAGGTGTAACCGCTGGGACTCTCCCCCTCACATTCTCACATGAGAAGGGTCCGAGATTTGTCGCGGCCGACTAGAGGGAAATCGTCATGATTGGGGTATACTTCTCGCCCAATAGGAGCCTCGCAGAGTTCAATACCTTCATGGCCGGGCTCGAAGCCATGGTCCGGCGTTTTCGGCCCGGTTCCCTGTTAGTCCTGGAGGATCAACACGAAGTCTCGTCTCTGGAGGTCTTGCAGGACTGACCCGAGCGGCGAGGCTCTGGGCGAATGGGTGGCTGAATTCGACCTCCTGACTCTGAACAAGGGGTCGGTTCAAACGTGCGTGCGGTAGCGAAGGGGGGTCCATTATGGACATCTCTTTCGCGTCCCCCGATGTCGCCGCCCTTGCATCACGAAGAGTCTCCACCCTCGGGTGCTGGAGGAGATAGTCCACTACTCTTTTCCACTATAGAGGGGGTGGAGGGTGATGCATCCTCCAGCAGTCGCCTTATCCCGGAGCGAAAATCACTCCTGGGAGGGTGACGCCTTGGGAGTCCATGAGGAGAAGTTAGACCGGGCGGTCGAAAGGCTCTGGGCGAAAAACGCTGCCTCGGGGCCCGATGGACTGCCTGGCAAGGCCTAAATTATCGCTCTGAGTGTCCTTGGTGACCGGCTCAGGCGGCTGTTTACCAGTTGCCTGAGCTCAAGACGATTTCCCCCCGAATGGAAAATGGGCAGTCTCGTCCTGCTCCGAAAGGAGTGGCACCCCGCGGAGTCCTCCCTCCGCGTACCGCTCTATCTATTTGTTCAGCGGGGCGAGTAAGCTTTTCGAGCATAATTGCGGCCCGTCTCGCGGACACCTGTCTCGCATCGGTCCCGATCTGGCCGACTGCTAGTACGGGTTCCGGGAGGGCCGATCGACGATTGATGCTATTCTAAGCGTCAAGGCCCTCTCGGACCTAGCTGTCTCCAGGAGTAGGGTGGCGCTGGTTGTAACCATAGACATAGCCAATGCCTTCAACATCCTGTCCTTGGAGAGTATAAGGGGGGCATTAAAGTATTGTGGCGTCCTCTCTTATATGCGGGAGGTCGTCGGGGATTACCTGCGGGACAGGTACATACTGTACTGGAGATATAGTGGAAAACATCGGAAAGAGTTACAATGCGGGATTCTGCAGAGGTCAGTTCTTGGCCCCCTGCTGTGAAACTTCGCATATAACTGGGTGCTACAAGGCATTCTCTTCACGGACTTCGACGTCGTTTGCTACGTAGACGACACGCTAATCGTGGCCCGTGAAAGTGACTGGACGAGGGCTACCTTCTTGGCTAAAGTGGGAGCCTCGTTGTCGGTCACGTCCGTAGGCTGGCTCTCGAGATGGCCCTCCACAAGATCGAAGCCTTGTGGTTTCAACTTCCAGGCCTTGGAGGAGACTGTCCGAAATTCATTTTGAAATAGGTGATGTTCGCATTAAAGTGGGGACCACGATAAATTACCTGGATAATTCTTGATAGCCTCTGGAGCTTCCGCGCTCATTTTAGCCGCCTGACCGCCCGATTGAAGGTGGATATCGTCAATTTCAAGCGACTCCTCCCCAACCTTGTGCGACCCATCGGATAGATGCCGTCGCCTGGTGGTGGTGCAATCTATCACTTTTTATGGAGCCCCCATGTGGTACTAGCAGCTCCCGGCCAACAACGCCAGCCAAAGGCTATTCCAGGCATGCCAGAGGCTGCTGGCCGCGAGAACCGCATGGGCGTATCGCATCATCGCCTGAGGGGCGACGTGCGTAGTGGCGGGTTCGCCGCCCTGGGTCTTGATGGCGGAGGCCCATGCGTCGACATAGCGTGGAAAAGGGACCTCCGCCAGAGCGGCGGGTACCCCACCGCAGAGGTGGCAGCGCAGAGGCGACAGGCTCGGCAGCTCGTACTCGCGAAATGGCAAAACTTCTTGGTCGATGCCAGGAGTGGTCTGCGAGCCGTTGAGGCCATCCGTTCGGTCTTGATGGATTGGGTGGATAGGCAGCATGGCGGACTCACATTCGACCGGTGCAGATGATAACCAGATATGTGTATTTCGGCAGGTACCTATGGTCGGACGCGAACCGACAGCGAGGTGCCACGAATGTGGTGCGGCGGAAAACACAACGCAGCACACCTCGGAACTCTGTCCGAGGTGGACTGTGTCGTGTCCTCACACAAACTATAGGCGATGACCTCTCGCTGCCCGTCGTCATAGCAAAGATGATGAGCGGCGAGAGAGAATGGGAAACGATGGCCTCCTTCTGCGGCCAAGTGATGGCGCAGAAGGAGGCGGCGGAGCGGAGGCGGGAGCTACCGATGCTCCACTTGTCCGCCGAAAAAAAGAAGAAGCCGGAGAGCATATGCTCGACTAGCCTTCTCTCCTCTTCGGGTTATGGCGGGGTTTGTGCGGGAGCGTGGACTTTGCAAAGAATACGACCCGCGAGGAGGGGTAGCGCGTTGGCGTAGTCCCGCTACGTCATCCTGATGCTATCAAGCTCTAGGTGTAATGTGAGGGACATACTATCCCTCCCCTGAGTCGGGACTCCCCCATCTGGGGGGGGCGTCATTCTGCGCCATAGGAGGCATCGTGTGGAGTGCCTAGTTCGACCTTGGAGCTCCTCGGAGCGCAGGAAGAGGGCCATCGTGAGGTTTTAGCCGGTAGGAGTCCGGCATAACCCCGCTCCACCCTTGCCCCCGGGGTGAAATGCCCATGATGGGTTTCCTCACGTTAAAAAAGAAAAGGAAAAAAGAAAAGAATGGATCAGGTTATTTTTTGGAAATAGGCAGTGCAAGAGGAGGAATTCTCCATTGTCAACATATACATAATACTTGCATGCATAAATAAATACATGAGCAGAGAGGAGACTGTTATTTCTAAAAATTCTTTTGTTAATAACTTTTTAATAAACAATGACCGCCAACTTTTTGCAGGTTTTAAAAAAATGTCCTTGACAATATATATTAAATTCAAGATCATCGGTGACGTGTTCCTTAATATGCATAATTAAAATATTAATATAGTATAATTATAGTAAATTATTTTTTACTAAAAACTCAATTCATACATGCGCGAGCATACGAGCGCACAAAAATTGAAAAGCGACTGCCTCTTAAGGATGATTTATTCAATGCTGCTCTTACTCGTTTTAAGCAAACTTCTTAAGCCGCCAACAAATTCGCTGGTCAATACTTTTTTTAGACTCGTACACAGTTGGAAATATTACACTTTGTCGCAGTAACCACTAGACATCACATCTTGATAAATTATAATTTTATAAAGGTTGGTAACAAAGTACATGAAAATGTTTTACATATAAATGCTTTGAGATTTATTGCTCTGTCCCACAAAATACTACGGTAAATATCCACCTTACAAAAAAAAATGTTAAACTATAGATTTACAGATGTTCTTTACCTTTATAGCTTTATCTTTAGCTTGGTATATAAGACGCTGAACAAAAATTTTTACGTTTATCTTATAGACTTTCGTTACTTTCATTTTTATAAATATGTTTTATGCATTCTGCTAATTTTTGTCACCAAAATAATCGCACAAATATTTTGTAGAATTTTAATTACATTTTTAGGTATTGTATGACTAGAACATATTATTAAGATGTTATAGAAAAAAGAACATATTACCTATCCTTAGTGAAATAGTACAATATTCACATCGGAAACAACCGCGATGAAAGAATTTGCCTTCTGCACTGAGCCTCTCCATTAAGTAAACCCTTTTATTACAAAAATGACATATCTCCGAACCTCCCTGCGCCGGTAGTACGATGGCGGATTTAACTCTCTGTAAACATAATTTATATCACTGATAAGTAGTTATTAATATCATGAGTTTTAGTATAAACTTTATAATAAATTTACTTTATAATAAATTAAATATAAAACATATTAGAAATTTTAACTCACCACATACACTTTGAAAAGATAAAAATAATTAAAAATTCTTTTATACTAAATATTGTAGTGTTCGATTATAATATTTATTCTTACGTCAATTAGTTATAACTTTATATATAAAATAATCTCTAACCTTACGTGTTATGTTTTAGATAATTATACAAGACAGAATAAAAAAAGTATTTATTACGTAGCTCCGAAGCTTGTATGTTCCGAAAGGAAGACCAACTATTTCCTACATATTTTGGCGTGTTGAAACAGAATCCGTTTCCCAAAAATTCATATCACGTTACATTTATCAGATACATGTGGTACGAAGGTCTAAAATCATATAATTCATATCGCAAATTAAAATAACGCAGATTATAATTCCTTCTTCGTACCTAGAAATTTTAACTCACCACATACACTTTGAAAAGATAAAAATAATTAAAAATTCTTTTATACTAAATATTGTAGTGTTCGATTATAATATTTATTCTTACGTCAATTAGTTATAACTTTATATATAAAATAATCTCTAACCTTACGTGTTATGTTTTAGATAATTATACAAGACAGAATAAAAAAAGTATTTATTACGTGATGTAGTTCTATGTACTTCGTACATAGAACTACAATCATAAACAGTAAACTAACCAAATCAAGTCCCTTGAACCCTCAACTCATAAACCCCAAATCTATATATCCCAAACATATTAGACTCATATATCCTTGAATACCCTTGAAAACAAGATTTCAAAATGATTCAGTTAATGAAGGCAAGATTTAGAATTAACTCGACAAGTGAAAAAAGACACAGATAAACCAACAGGCTTACTAATCTCCTGTTTTTTTCTTTATTTTTTTATGCGATCGTATTTTCTTTCTGCAAAAGATCTCGGATCGCTTTCCTTTTGTGTTACTTTCTTTTTCGTATCTCTTTTCAGTAATCTGCCATTATATTCTCATTGCATCTACCTTAGTATCTTCTCTCAATTTCCTTCAGGTCTTGGTAAAATCGGTCATTCTGTTCTTCACTATAATGTCCTAGATCAGAACTGGAGACGATCTACACATTTCAGGCGACATTCAAGAGGTGATACCCACTGTCCCCCTGCTACCGCTCCACACTCAGCTGCCGAGGCGACGATCGCGGTGCGTTCAAGCCCGTCGCTGTATAAGAAATCAGCTGAAATGCACCCTCGCATCATATTATCATTAAAATTTTTTCCTCGTTTAATAATCACTTTAAAATAAATATATATGTTTATGCATCATATATATATATATATATATATTTCAGCGCTTCAGCTGATTTCTTATACAGCGACGGACCTGAACGCATCGCGATCGTCGCCTCAGCCGCTGAGCGCAGAGCGGTGGCAGAGGGACGGTAAGTGTCACCTCTTGAATTTCGTCCAAAATGTGCAAATCGTCTCCAGCTCTGTCCTAGATCATCGGAAAGATAATCGAGATGAGAATGGAGAAAATGTAATTTTAAATTCATAAGACATCCTAATTTATTATATTTTGATAACATAGTTTTGACGATTCTTTTATAATTTTATAGTGCCTTCACTAGCCGAGTTAATTCCAGATCTTGTCTTCTTTAGCCAGATCATTTCGAGATCTTGCCTTCAAGAATATGTGAGTTTGGGATGTATGGGTTTGAGATTTGAGTTGAGGGTTCAAGAGACTTGGTTTGGTTGATTTACAGTTTATAATTGTGGTTCTACCTAGATAGGAGTTTATAATCTGCGTTATTTTAATTTGCGATGTGAATTATGTTATTTTAGACTCTCTTACTACGTGTATCTCATAAATATGATGTGATACAAATTTTTGGGAAACGGATTCTATTTTAGCACGTCAAAATATATAAGAAACAGTCTTCCGTGCAGGACAAAATATTTTTTTCATTCTGTGATCTTGTGTTATTAGTCACTTGTCATAAGATAGATACTATCAACTTGTAACAAAAGAGTTACATATTGAGAATAAGAGATCTAGCAGAAAATAAAGTTTCATTTCTACATGATAATTCAATGTTATATTTACATATAGTAATACAATATATCATAAAAATAACATGTTTTGATAGTGCAGACAATATAAGTAAACTTGTAGCAAAATATTTAAGAAACAGATTATATGAAAATATATCAAACAATAATGTAAATGTAAAAAAAAAATGTTAAAGAAATATGTTAAAAATACTCTTATTTTTAAAAAAACAATTTGTTTCCGTATTTTCTATACTTTTACATTTTTCTGTAATTTTGCAATAACAAAAGTTGTTTTCTTACAGCGTCAAAAAATCTCTCAGCTTGATTATAATAACTAAGGATAAACTATAGTTATAAAGATAAACTATAGTTCTTTTCTAAATAAATAATAAGAAATGTAAGAAAGAGGGGGGAGTGTTACGTTATTTAATATGATATATCTATGATATGCAACTTCATTTTTTAATAGAAAAAAAATTTTAAAGTGAATTCATTATTCTCGTTATTTTAAACAAATTACTAACAAGAGCAGAGTTACCCTCTCCCCACCTAATTCGTCCCTGCGAATTTGATATATGTTTTAGTACTACTGTTCAATACGCGGCCGAACAGAACAATAGCTTTGGAGAGTTGGCTGGTAAATTGAGGATCGCAGAGCGATGCTCGCTCGCATCTATACTCCGTTCACGAAGAGAACGACCACGCTCCGCACAACTTTGGGCAGAGTGGGGAGATTCGTGCGCGCTACTCAGTGCTGTATACGTAATTATCATTCGCTTGGGTCCCGGTGCACAATCAACTTTCTGTAAATAGAATAGTTGAAATAATTTGAACATCGCGCTATCATACCGCAGTACGTAACGACTAACCTTCAAATGTTCGAAATACGTTAGTTCGAACATTCATATTACGGTTTATACGCACAGTCTCCCCTTCCGGCTGTAGCCGAGCCTGACCTGGCTTGATAGCGTGGAGGGGGCACAATAGGCGGGCCCGTCAAGCGGGATTTGACCGAATCAGTCGTTCTCGGTCCAATGAAATCCCTGGTCGTTCTCTCCGTGAACGGAGTACAGGGTGCACGATTTATCTGAAGACATTGAAATATCTCGAGAACTATGCATTGGATAAAAAAAAGTGGTTAATGAAAGTTGTTAGTCTCGAAGGAGGACATCCAATGATACCAAACTCGACCTCCCACCCCACCCCCTGGAGGTGGGGGTTGGGGGCAACTTTGAAATCTTAAATGGAAACCCCCATTTTTTATTGCAGATACGGATTCTACGCCACAAAATACGTAAATTTTGTCCGAAACTTTTTTTCTCATTCGTGATAGATGGCGCTGTAATTGCAAGAAAATTATATTTTCCGCAATTTTCCAGAAATGATCATTGGATTGAGAAATAAAAAATACCTGTTCAATATTTTTAAAGGACATAATAAAAGTTATTCCCCCCCCATCCTCTCGGGGTAGGGTGGGTGATAACGTTCAAATCTGCATGACGGTTGCCCAGCGCATAACTCAATAGCAGCACGGGAGGTATTAGACCGTGATTACAATGGTCGGTGGATTGGCAGAGGTGGCCCGATTAATTGGCCTGCTAGGTCGCCTGATTTGACATCGCCGGATTTGTCGAGGCGGGCAAGTTGCTTGAACGCATCATTGCCGACCGCCTCGTCCGGCACCTGTCCTCGGAGGGGCCGAACCTCCACGATCACCAGTTTGGGTTCAGGCCCGGGAGATCAACGCTGGACGCAGTCCAGTGTCTCCGGGGCCTGACCCAGGCGGTCGTGGAGAGGGACGGCGGGGTGTTGCTGGCCGTATCCTTAGATATAAGGAACGCTTTCAACACCCTGCCGTGGCCGGAGATAAGGCGGGCGCTCGTGCATCACGGCGCGCCCGCTTATCTCCGGCGCATCCTCTCGGCCTACTTCGGGGGCAGGGACCTCGCCTTCCCAGTGGAGGGCGGGATCCAGGGCCGGCGCACCATAGAACACGGTGTTCCGCAGGGGTCCGTCCTGGGCCCCCTGCTGTGGAACATCGCGTTCGACCGGGTGCTGAGAACTCCGCTGCCCCCGGGCTGCCACGTCATCTGCTACGCAGATGACACCCTAGTGGTGGCCGGGGGGAAGAACTGAGGGGAAGCCCGCCTCTGCGCGGAGGCGGCACTAGCATCGGCGGTGGGCACCATAAAGGACCTGGGTCTATCGGTGGCGCCCCAGAAGACCGAGGCCATATATTTATACGGCCGAGGTCGAGGGGCACCTCCGAGGATCCAGGTCCTTGTGGATGGCGTCCACGTCCACGTCGGGCCGACGATAAAATATCTCGGCCTGACGTTGGACAGCCGTTGGAGTTTTGGGCCCCACTTTGGGAACCTGGCCCCCCGGGTGCGCAAGGCGGGTCTGGCAGTAGCCAGCCTCAAGCGCGCCCAGGGGGGCCCGGGATGGATGGCACGCCGCCTGTATGTCACGGCCGTGCTCTCGATCGCCCTATACGGGGCGCCCATATGGGCGCCCAGCCTCTTGGTCTGCCGGAGGGGAAAGCGCTCCCTCCGGCAGGCCTTGAGGCCGGTATTGATTAGGACGATTCGAGGGTATCGGACCGTGTCATACATGGCGGCGACCACCCTGGCCGGCGTCCCTCCCGTGGAGCTCCTTGCTGATGAGAAGTGTATCCTCTATTGGCGGGTGAAGGAGCTCCGCGCGGAGGGGACGCTAAGGGCCAGGGATTTGAAGGGCCTGAAACTCCAGGCCAGAGACCGGACCCTTCGGAAGTGGAAGGACGCGTTGTCCGATCCGAGGGTGTCCGGTCCCAAGACGGCCGCGGCTGTCCGCCCCTGCCTGTCTGAGATGACGGGCAGGAGGGGACGTGGAATGACCTTCCACCTGGTGCAGATGCTGACCGGGCACGGTT